TTCCGTGTGTGTGTGTGTGTGTGTGTGTGTGTGTGTGTGTGTGTGAAGCAACGAAACAGCCATCAGCGTTTGTTCAAGCGAGACAAGCAACTCGGCTGATCTGACGCAGTTTGACGGCTCAGATCTTTATCACAATCATTATAATTATTAATTTTCCCTCCCTTGCTACAACTTGTATATTTTTAACTGGAGTTTAGTCGTTATACCCATAGAAGTTATTACAATGCAATGAAATGCGTCTAATGCTTCGCAATAAAACAAACAATAAAAATGATTTTCTTAAATACCAATGAAGTGAGCAAAGTCTTATTAGATAAAGTCCTGCGTTTAGTAAACGGAACTTTCCTGGAGTTTAAAGGACTGGGTCATTTGGATGCACTTTATTCACAAGTCATCCCAAACTGTGCAATATACGATCATGGTCGTCACCCTCTCGGCCCAGCAGTTCGGCGTTCTAGCTTTACGACCGCCACGTAAAACCTCTCTCATCCTGGAAACGCACTGTGCACTTGGTGTAAACTAAACACTAAAGATGGTTAAATTCAATCTGTTTACTCAGTTGACATGTGAGAGGTAACTTTTGTAAAGTGGCTTTCCTTATGCTTGGATTCCGCTTTTCAAGGGATTTAAACACCAATAATTGTTTTCCCAATCGATCCAAAATTCATTCGTAAAAGCATTCAAACAAAAGCGGCTAAATACCATCTGAACGGTTAAAGAGATTTGGCATTAAGTTCGGGTTGGAATACATCAATTATCATAAATGATAAATGTAAAATCAAGTACTGATCAACATTTCCCCTTGTTTAACTGAATTTCTATTTTTCTCTGGAATATTTTATCAGCTACTTAAAGAACAATGAACCTCTTTTGAATGCTCATATGGCCTAATTCCAATCAGATGGTAAAATTTTACCGAACTATCCGTTCGACGTGTAGTATACTACATTATCCCATCGTGGATGTGGTCGTGTAAGAACCGAAACTTCCGAAATTCAGTAGATCGATCACCTAAACTTAAACTTTGTGAATTCATTTTACGATCAGTCCATAGAACTTAGAAGAACTGCTGTGTGAGTAAAATAAACAAAACAAATCCTGATTTAGGAAATTGCAAAATATTGTTAAATTTTCTTCTGAACCTATTGGCCTTAATAACGGTGCATATCCAAAAATCAAAAGGTTCATCATCCCCGGGTACCTGGGCAGCTGATCAGCAGCGAACTAGACTCCGTCAACGTTTAAACCGTGTTTTGTTGTACACCTTCTTGTCTATTCCTGCTTAAACATTCGGTCATCGATTCTATGCCTTTCCTTTCACGTCCTCATCGTCTATTCATCAGTTGTTTTCTCTACTTTTCCCAATGACATCCAATTTTGAATAGGGTGAAGTATTCGCAAAAAATGAGCACATACGTATTCGTAGACAAGTCTCACCATCCACCGAATTCCTAAATTCTATTTGTCCGGTGCATCTTAAATAATCTCATAAACACGCACGCAGTACGATGAGCTAAATGTATCGAAACGCACACTGTCAGGAAACACCACTTACACGTCCCTAAGCGATCATGTGTAGATCTGATATCACACTGTATCAAACCAAACGAGAACTGGAGCAAAACAAGCAAACAAAGGCTGACTGAATACTTTGTTTTATTAAAAAATAATGGAAAAATTACTAAGCAAGATAGAGATGTTCTCACATCAAACACAATCAATTTGTACAAGTTCAAAAGGTATCACTTCACACTGATAACACAATCTTTTGTACACGGCGGGGAGGGCTGTCAAAGGTGAAAATATGTATAAAATGTGTCAGTGCAATCTAATTTGCTTCTCAGTCGATGCAGGAGTAAGGGGATATTATCAAAAAGGCAATAAATATGCATCTGGTTTTACAGTCACATTCAATCTGAACTGTTTGTATACACATTATGTCCACGCGTTCTTAGATCCGCAAAAGGGTGATTTGTACACATAATGGATCCAGGGTTTTCGAGGTATGTGTGGAAGAGAAATTACGGTAAGGGAGTTTTGGAGCACGGATTCATACGATCGAACCACTTTCCTGACTCGTAGCTTCACCACTGGAACTGCTTGCTCGTGTACTGCGAGAATCGGACCTGTTCGAGTAGAAAGGTATCGGAGTGATGTAACCAGTTGGATAGGACCCCCCGGTCTGTGTTAGATGGTGAGCAAATCGACTGGCTAAAATTGAGCCGTTCGATAACGGTGTACTAGAAGACATTAGGAGTGAAGATGGTGCTACCAGATTGTCCGGAGACTCTAAAGCAGACAGTGGCTGGATACCGTAAGCTGGGTGAGTCGGTGTGGAAAACCCGTATCCACCTGGAGGGATACGTGTGGGTGAGGTGAGGTGAGTTGGGCCTGGCACGGGTGCTTGATAACACGAGGAATCGACTCGCCATGTTTGTGAGTTCACATTCATCTTGTCCTTCGGTTCACATTCATCCACTCCGGTTGCAGCTGTCACGACATTGCGAATATCGCTAGCACCGAACAGACTGGAGCTTCCACCAGTCGGTGGGGATGGTGTGGACCATGAAGCATTCAGACCTCCGGAAGTAGACTCACTGTTGGGACCGGCCATTATGGTGTGTTGTATTGGTTGATGTTGCGACAATTGTAAGATGTTTTGCACCAAAGGGGCCTTCACCGAAATCGAGGGCGGATCTGTGTACACTGGATAAGTTGTTTTGCTGTCCGGTTTTCTTAGCTCATCCTCGTAGAGGAGATCTTTCATAAAACTGGTTGTCAGGGTAGTTGAAGTTGGAACATTTTCGGTCTGTGTGGCTGAGGAATTTTCTACACGTGGGCAGAATAGATGCGGAGGGAATCGACTTACAGCATACATACCGTTCATAGGGTAATGTGTGTTGGAATGGGATGTAGTGGTTGGAACGGATGCAGTAAATAGGTGGGGATGTTGGTGGTCTCTGGTCGGATCGAATCCGTGGGAAACTTGATAATGCAAAGGATTTTGTCCGGTATGACTGGTGACAGAATAGGAACCAAGAGCTGGTGAACTGGGGAAGATTGGTTCTGGTTTTGTACAGAGGGAAGTAGGAGAGGTTGGCTTGTCTGTCCCCAATGTGGTTCGCGCTATTTTGCCTTGATCCACTGAAGAGGCCCAATTGGTTTCTGATTGGTGTAACTTTCCGCCCAGTGGCATATCGTTCACTTTGGATTCCACGCGTTCCGCTGCTCGTTTTCTAACCAAACCAGCCATACGCGTCACCTCTCGTGTCCTCGAGTTTCCACGAGTTGATAAGCACTCGGAAGACCGAACATTACTCTCCGCCGAGCTCGTCAGACTCCGGGTTTGTTGAAGCTTTTCCAACTGAATCTGTCGTCGCCTTCTTGCGGCCGTATCACGAACTGGTTTCAAATCTGGACGTATGTGATCGTGCGTACCTTTGGACTGAAAATAGACAGTATCTCCATGTTCCCGCCAAAAATGAGTAACCGGGTAACCTCCATGACCACGACATGGTTGATTGTAGATTCGTCCGTTGCAATTGGGCATACAACAAGGGCGACCTGAAACAGTAATAATAATACTGAAAATGTAACACACAGTCAACATTTTCACTTCACTTAACATATCATCTGTCTATAAGGTTGATATGGGTTTGTAGATCTCTCGCTACACTTTGCCTGATTAGCGAAAACTTGTCAGATCAACTGGAACAGCATATGATTCATACAACTGCTTTCACAATGATACTGCATTAAAACCAATTACATGTTCTGTTGATCAAACTGATTGCAACAATGTGTCACTTGCCCCCCCCCC